ACGAGTGGATAAGTATAAAATGTGAAGGGCAGGGGAGTAATAAAGGCATTGGTTTCTCCGAAAATCCCCACTTCGCTTCACCCACATAAACATGGACCCACTGAAACCCAGCACATAACTTGTCCCCATCCTTGTGAGGAGATTCCCTTGGCCTGATCCCCCTGGGCCCTCCTCCACAGGGAGCTGCGCCTTAGTGGCTGGGGACAGTCTGGGAGTGCTGTGTATCCCTCCTTGACTCACAGCTCTGGGCTCAAGATTGTTCAATCTTGCAACCCAGTTGGGAAATCATGTATTTTCTTAAGAGGACTTACAGTTCTGATTTCACATGGAATTACCCAGCTGTCATGGAGGAGCCCCCAGCCTAGAAACTGATTCAATGGAACTCTGTATCAAGTCATGGCTGAGGATGACACCATGTTAGGCCTGGATAGAGACCGGGAGCTCGAGGTCTAGAGGGCTCATGGGACTGGATGCAGAGAGGGTGATGGAGCTGTGTACCAACTCTATGTGTTGTATGCTTGTCTAGAATGGGACCTACTTGTGATGGTCTCTCCTTCCTGGACATGCCATGAACCCTCTTTAAATCATTCCAACTAACATTTTTGACTACAGGATTAGGTTTCCAAATTCCTTTTAATACATTTTTCAGCTTGGATTCTGTCCCATCAGCACTCTCCCTGTTCCTAATTCTGTTCATAGGATTAAAACAAAATGACAACTAATATAATTTGAGGGCTGAATGAGCTTTTATTTGTAATTCTAGAAGCAAGCAGTATCTCTTTCTGAGAAATAGAGTAAGTGTTCCACTGAGCCAAGCAAAGGAAATTGACTTTATAGGTAGAAAAGGGTAGAAGAAAGCAGAAATAGAGAGCAGAAAGTGAATTGGTCAATTTTCTTTCCTGGTGGAGTTAAGATAGAGGGGACTTCCTAGTTACACAGACTGAGGTGGACACAGGTTTTGGGAAGCTGTTTTTGGAAAACTGGCCGCTTTCAAAGTTCGTTTGGGTTACACAGCACTCAGCAGAGCAATTCTGCTAGCATGGGTGGAAAGGAGTGGTTTCTGTACGCTGTGCTCACCAATCGTCCTATCATTTCTTAAACACAAGGACAGAAAAGACATATTTCATTTGTGGTAATTAAGGACATCTCAGATAAAGGTGTCCCATGAAGAAGCCATAGCGTTCTGTTCTTTCCTTATGGAGTTAAGACAGGCGGGCTGTGTCCTTAGCAGAAGGTTCCAGCAGAGCAAGGCCCTTGGCAGAAGCAAGGCTGTTGCTCAAGGAAAATTCTAACACCACTAACAAGAAGCCCTGTGGCTATTCCTTGTGGCAAGATGATCAGCTGGTACCTGCCTGCCTGACCTTAGAGGCCCAGCCATTCCCTTAGTCAGCAACACCAAATATCTTTATTCATGCGCTTCAGCCTTGAAATTTCTGTTGATCGGGTCTTATTAAGTGTGCATTTGGGTGAATTAATATCTGCAAGAGACTGTGAGCTTGACTAGTGCTAGTCAGCAATGTTTTTTTCCTATTAGTACAAAATAAAACAGGATGTACAATGGCCATGTAATGTATTTTTCATATAAGGTTGTTTCTTTCACTAAGTTTTGATGTCAGAGAACTTACTAAAGGTGACAGGTGATTATTTTGAATGTTCTTATCAAAACAAGCTGTTAGAAGCCTTATATAGGTCCCAGCCATTTTATGTGAGAAATTTGGCTGCTTCATGATTCACTCAGGTTTGGAACTACATATCTAGGAACCTGGGATGCACTTGTTCTATAGAGCTTTTTGAATTTCATCACTATTGGCATTTGGGGCTGGTGGATGGCTTCCAGAGCTTTGTAGGATGATCAGCAGCATCCCTGGCAGCTACTTGCAGGACACTAGTAGGAACCTCCCCTTCCCAGATGTCATAACTGAAAACGTCTCTAAATATTAATAAACATCTGTCTGTCTGCAGAAGTTCAAATTGGCCTCCTTCCCAAACATGATGGATGCCTGCTAGTGTACAGCAATCATTTTCAAATTGTGGGCTCAACCCATTAATGTCTGTAAACTAAATTTAGGGGGTCGATAGCAGCAGCATTTTAAAAATCAAATCCATGCGAAATGGTATTTTCAATAAATGGTGCTGGGAAATTTGGATATACATATGCAGAAGAATGAAACTGGACCATCATTTCAGATTACAGAGATCAGCTCCAAATACATTAAAGATGTATATGCAACACCAGAAACTATGAAACTAATCAAAGAAGACATAGGGGAAATGCTTTACAACATTGGAATGGGCAAAGATTGTTTAAACAAGACCTCAAAAGCACGAGAAACAAAGTCAATAATAAATAAATGGGACTGTATCAACCCAAAAGGTCTCTGCATAGCAAAGGAAACAACAGAGTAGAAAGGCAGCCTCCAGAATGTGAGAAAATATTTTCAAACTTTGCATCTGACAAGGACTTAATATTCAGAATATATGTGGTATGGTTTATCTCTACATTGTCTCCCAAACATCATACATGTTTGGAAAGTGATTGCATCACAGGATCCTACAGCTGGCTGGCCTGCTGTTAGGAAGTGGGGCCTGGTTGGAGGTGGTCTCCGGAGGTGCACCCTGAAATGGTGTGCCCTTGCTCCCTGTTCCTCCCCTCTCTCTGGCTCCTGGCTGCAGTAAGCTGAGCATCCTTTCCTTTACCATGCCCATTGACGTTCTCTTTCTGTTTTAGGGACAGCATGCCATGGTTTCAAACCTTGAACCCAATCAATCCTCTCCTCCTTTAAATTTTGGGTGTCAGATATCACGCACAGGGACCAGGAAGTGACTATGAAGTAAGAAACTAAAAAAACTCAGTAGCTTCCAAGAAGCACACAGTTGGCTGAGGCAGGAGGACTGAGAATTTGAGGCTAGCCTGGGCTACATGAGACCCTGCCTTAAAAAGCAAAAAACCAACGTGCTGTGTGGACCCCAGGGCGCACTGAGACAGTGACTGAGACTGGGTATGGTGGCATGTGCCTGTAATCCCTGTGCATGGGAGGCTGAAAACAGGAGGATCACTATGAGTCGGATATGTGTAGTGAGACCCTGTAGACCCTGTACTAAACACAAAAAAAAAAAGAAAAAAGAAAGAAAAAACCAAAACCAGACCATACTAGGCCAGACATAAGAAAATATTTCAATAGAAAAAAAAATCATCAAAACACTCCCCTCCAAGTAGCCCATTTAAAAATGGCAGTAGGGCTGGGGAGATGGCTCAGTGGAATAAGCGCTTCCCTGGCAAGCACAAGAGCCTGAGTTCGATCCCTGGTTCCGCAAAAAAAAAAA